AAAAAAAACATTATAAAATCATGTACCGGTATTAAAATTATTCAAGAGAAGAAAAACCTCTTGAAGGAGTTTCAAAATTATTCCCCCACAATTCTGCTGAGTTCTGGCATAGATAATTTAAAATTTTTTTTTGCCATGATGATAATTTGAAAATTTGGACTCAGCTCAACTTCAGCAGGCAAGAAAAAGTTCCTTCTCAGGGGGATATATTGTTTTGTTATTTAATAGTTTTATTAAATTCTCTGGTCAAGACTTTTGGTTGAATTTTAGTTTTAATTTTATTCTTTATTTTCATAAAGGTGATTTAAATCTGGGTAACTTAAAAATATTATCTAGTCCGAATATGCAAGAGGGAAAATACCTTGTGAAGGATTTTCAAAATTTATTTTTTTCAAAATGGGCTGAAAAATGTGCTGAAAAAACATCAATATGTGCACGTTCTCCGGAGCTATGCTCAGCAGGTCTGCAGGAATGTTTTTCACAGTGTGTTGGCTTATTCACTTCTGAAAAGGAAAATGTAAATTTGTTGCTATGAGAATTTTGAAAAGTTGAAGGACTCAACTTCTGCCAGACAAAAACTTCTTTCCCAGTGCTTTTGTGTTTTTCTGTGGCAGTTTGATGAAATTATCTGTGTTCAGCAGTTTCAGTGGATTTCCATCTTTATTATTTCTCCTTCATTTTTCATCAACTGAATGCTGTCAGCCTGAAGAAATTTTAATAAGTTTTCATAGAAATATACTTATCACTTTTTGCCAGTTTCCTTTGTCTACAACAAATCTTAACAAAATCAAGCATATACAGTCAACCCCCACAGAATGGACTTCATTTTTGCAACAGACTAGTCTGTTAATTGTGTGAAAAGTCTATTATGCTTATGAAATTATTAAAAATTATAATGTTTACTTTTTACCAATAATTTCAAACCTATAGAAGTCTGCTAAGTTGATTTATAGTCCATTTTGCAGGAAGGAAATCCACCTCATCCAGAGGTGGTTCATTGTGCAAAAATCTGTTGCACAGGAGGTCCATTGTGCGGGGTTAGACTGTATTGTAAATCTTCAGCTCTGTGGTTTCAAAATTCTCATACTTTTTATGCCAGCAAGAGATTTTCCTGTCTCCACAACAAATAATCAGGGATATTCTGGGCAGGCATAAAAACCAGGCATGTGACCACCCATAGCCAACCCATATTGAATGAATAGCTGGATACTGGTGATTTTTTAGATACAGTACCAGTGATTCTGTGGTAGCCCTCTATGAACCCATATTTCAGGGGAAATGCAACAGAAATTCAAACAAAATAAAAGATTTCTTTTAGTTGTTGCTGCTACAGTGAAAGGCTTGTCAAAATCCTTGACTTGAATAATGAAGAGATGGATCGTATTCACGTACAGCATTTAAATACTGTAATCATTTTTGCTATTACAGTCAAACCCCATTAAGACACCCCCCAATAAAGCACCACCCTTGGCAACTGCCAAAATTTTGANTTAAAAATTATAATGTTTACTTTTTACCAATAATTTCAAACCTATAGAAGTCTGCTAAGTTGATTTATAGTCCATTTTGCAGGAAGGAAATCCACCTCATCCAGAGGTGGTTCATTGTGCAAAAATCTGTTGCACAGGAGGTCCGTTGTGCGGGGTTAGACTGTATTGTAAATCTTCAGCTCTGTGGTTTCAAAATTCTCATACTTTTTATGCCAGCAAGAGATTTTCCTGTCTCCACAGCAAATAATCAGGGATATTCTGGGCAGGCATAAAAACCAGGCATGTGACCACCCATAGCCAACCCATATTGAATGAATAGCTGGATACTGGTGATTTTTTAGATACAGTACCAGTGATTCTGTGGTAGCCCTCTATGAACCCATATTTCAGGGGAAATGCAACAGAAATTCAAACAAAATAAAAGATTTCTTTTAGTTGTTGCTGCTACAGTGAAAGGCTTGTCAAAATCCTTGACTTGAATAATGAAGAGATGGATCGTATTCACGTACAGCATTTAAATACTGTAATCATTTTTGCTATTACAGTCAAACCCCATTAAGACACCCCCCAATAAAGCACCACCCTTGGCAACTGCCAAAATTTTGAGTGAAACAAATCGCCTCTATGTTAAAGTCTATAGAAAACCTTAATAAGATGCCAACTGCCATCTACCAGCATTATTGATGAACTAAAGTGCTGTTTCCAATTAGTTTTGTCTTAGTTAAAAATTAAAATGCCAAAATTGGGGTAGAATGATAATTTCAGCCAAGGATTTTGTATTTGCAAGAAAAAAATAATGATGTTGAAAATTTTGAAAAATTTATTGACCAAATCTTAAAATTTGAATAAATTGATGCAGCAAAATTTATTTTCTGAAAGAGTAATCCATTGATCACAGCAATACTCTTTGGAAAATTACTAAAGTTTCCATATACATAACCTGTATCTCTATATGACGTTTGGAGGAAAATTGAGTATTTTTGATCAAATAATTAAAATTAAATATTCGATAAACCGTACCAACCTCTTTAAACTGCCAAAATTGCTCTGGACAAATGGTGGCGTCTTATGGGGGGTTTGACTAAATCTGCTTTTTAATAATCAATTATTCGTAGGTGCTCGCAGGGACGAAGACGGCTACATTTGGATGACAGGTCGGATCGACGACATGCTCAACGTTTCCGGCCACTTGTTGTCCACGGCGGAAGTGGAGTCCTGTCTGGCCGGACATCCGGACATTGCGGAAGCTGCAGCCGTGTCCACGCCACACGTGCTCAAGGGCGAGAGTATCTACTGCTTCATCACGCCGAAAGATGGCGTTGCGTTCGACGACCGCCTCGTCGCCGCCCTCAAGGCCAGAGGTAACAATACATTTTTGTGATAGTGTTTTATTTTTTTTCATTTCTGTTGAGCATCCAGCAAATAGCTTAGTTGGCATAATTCAGTAAAATACGGTAATTGGGCTATCAGCTAAACAATAATCGAAAATTTTTAAAGTGCAAAAAATTACAGAACTTGAACCTCGTTCTATAACTAAAATATTTTCCGAGTAAAATACCTACCATATAAAGTGTGGAATTTTTTATAAGTCCCTGTCGGAGTTCCGCAGGAAGCAGACGATTAATGGCATTCATCATGACAGTATTTTGGAAATTTTTATTTTTGAAACATACTTGGAAAAATGAGTGAATATGTTATACTGTGCATGCCAAAAGGTTTTCAATAAATAATAAAACCAACTTATGAGATAGAAATCCTCTCAACCCACGCAACACAGAAAAACACAAGAAAAACAGATCTTGCAAGAAAAAGGATGTTTGGGAAGCAAAAATCACTGAAGCCCCATCACTGATTGATGTACAGTTTAGGGTCATTTGGAATCAATCATATTGGGGACAAGTGTCACCACAATAGAAGTTGATGTCAAGTATCAAATAACACAATAAAACACGGCAATCAGTCCTGGGCAGGACCAGGAATTCCTTTTAGGAATTCATGTAGTTTAAAGGGATAAGCATATTTCAAGGAATAAATTGATAAATAAGCAACTCAGCAAACACTTCTTGCAACTTGCAGGATAAGTGGATAACTTGAGTAACAAATCACGACCGATAATGAGTATTACAAGATGAGCTTCTTATATATACCAGGAATTATATGTAACCTTCAATAGCTTATAGACCTTTAATCAGGTTGAGAAATATATTGTCAAGGATGCTATGGTGCCAGGATGTTCCTGGTACTGCAACTTTGAGGAGGGGGGAATGCTTTTGTATTTCCCAGAATTGTATTTATATCAATTTTAAACACACAAGGTGCTTGCCCAACAAATGATGTATGGCAACATTAATTTTTACAAGTATTTTTTTCAATATTTCTTTGTTATTCTAAAATTCAACCTTAAAAAAATCAAACCTCTTCAAGCCAGTTGAATATCTTCAATGTTGACAAGTCCCTGTCTGAATTCCCTTAGCAACAAAGCATTGAAAACCTTTGTATCTTACTGGCTTTTTCCCTCAAACCTCCATTACTCAAATTTTCTACAGGATTTTTTGCTACTACAGTATCTTATAAACACAGGAAAGAGAAAATCAATAAAAAATGTAATTTGATGTTTTTTGAAAGGAAGTGAAAGACTAATTGCACAAATAAACCCTTGCCTCCCAGTTCAGCATCCTGTCAACTCAAATATGAAGCGCTGAGTAGCCAAAGTTGGGATAATTCCGCAAAAGAAAGCCATTTTGCTGATAATCTCTCTATGCTAATCCTATGGAATGCAAAAAATGCCACCCAGCAGTAACCTGTTTCCATCTTTTTAATTTTCTGGCAGACATATGCTTTCAAAATTTGGGATTTCTCTCAACTTTGGCTCTTCTAATCATTCTTGTTTCTCACTTTTTCCTACTGCTTGTGTCACAGCATTTTGCAGATAAATCCCAGCACTGTTGCCTAAGGGTTAAGGACCAGAATATCACCAAAAACAATTTCCTCTCATTTTTCAAATCTTTCCCAGAAAAAGAATGATCTTTTTCTCAACTATGTAAACATCCATAATTCAAAATCCTTTGCTGATCCTTTGAAGTTTGACCCATAGAGGTTTGACTGCATTAATTTGCTATATTGTTTATAAAATTGACCACAGCACTTCTAACTTGCCAGCAAGAAATTTGACTTTGGGACTTTTAAACTGAGGGAAACCAGCATTTTTTATTGTGGCACAAAAGCATTAAAATATTCCAAGGAATGTAACATGAAAGGTTAAACTGCTGGATAATTGAGATAACAGGGTACTGAACATCAAAACAATGGCAAAATTATCAAATTATTTGCTCAATTCCTTTTGAAAAGCATGCTTTCAGATTTTTTTTGCTCATCCATTTCCTTTGTCCTCAAAAAAAAAAAAAAGAAAACAGCCAAGAGACATGTAGTCTTTTCTTCTCCATCTTTCGTAATTCAAATTTTCTTCGAGTGACGGAGGCAAATAATTTATGAAATGATAATTTCTCTTTTGGGTAAGAAGGGAATCATTGTTGGACATAATCTGCTCAAGCAACAAAAGGAGTCATCATTGTATTTTGGCATTTGTCAGGAAAAAATCCAAAGACAAGTAAATTTTGCACAAATCTCTTAAGGCGCCAGACAAAATTATCAACGCATTTTTTCGAGCCTGAGAACCGAACCCAGGTTCGGTTCCCAGGCTCTCCCAAGGACAGTTTTCCCAACTTCCAAAAGGAAGGAATGAAAGTGGCCAAATCCGGCCTTCATCTCTAATCCCAAAAGTTGTAGTGGTCAACCAAAAACCACAGATATTTCACTCTGAGTTGAACTCTTGAATTGAACAGATCTCCGGAGACCTCGTGTGTGAAATCTATTACCCAATCCCGAAATCAGGCATTCTTGCACTTGCCTAAAACTTCTTAGTTGTTCTGATCTGTCCTGTTCTGTTCTGAAAAGAATATATCAATTTATAATAGGACGATAAGTCCCGGCCGCAGCCTGGCTGATTGAAGTGTTTTTCATTTCTCTCCATTTCATCTGATTCACTCTACAAAATTCGTATACTTCTATCCTTTCACCTTTTGTGAGATAAAAAGAAAGTCCTCTGTAATCTTTTCCCCACAAAAATTGGTAGCAGAGCGTGGTTCTCTGACTCCACTTAAAACAAAATTTGTGCAATCCTTTGTGAACAATCTTGATCATTTATTTGTGAATAAAACTTTTGACAAAAATACTTTGTGAATAAAACTTGTTGACGCACGTTTGTATATACAGTATATATATCTAAGTGTTTTTTGAAATTTTTACACATATATTCATTTATATCGAAAAACCCTTCTCGGCTCTTGTGGTGTGTATACTTTCTTTGAATGGACCAAAGTGTCCATACTTGTGTATAAAAATCACCCATTGTGCAAAAGAACACCCCTTGAATTGACCTCTACCAGTGAACAATCAAGTGAACTCCGTTGAATTTCTCTCGCGCAAAAGTGATCAAACCGCCAAAACTTGGCACAAAAGGATTCAAATCTTGAAGAAGAAGAAAAATCAAGCAACAACTAAGGACAGTTTGAAACATCTGCTACAACTGGTGAATATTGGAAAAGAGGGCATTCCTCCAAGCACGAAAAAAAGGACCAATCGTCATGGCACCAAGAAAAGTCATTGCTGTAAAGAAGCCTGTTGGCAGACCACCAAAGAGGATTTCTCTAAGATCAAATCTTGAAGTAGAGGCACATAGTGCGGATTCCGCCAAGCCATCTACTTCAAATACCAGTGCAAACGGAAACAAAACAACCAACATAACTCCCATAATGGAACCAAGACCCATCAGGCTGAGCAAAACCCCAAGTAATTCAAGTCTAAACTCTGCAAGAGAAAATGCAAATACGTTGGACAACGAGTCAAGAAACTTAACTGCAAAAATTTTTCAAGTTGTGAGAATGGTTCGTAAGGGTGACAAGGCATATGATGAGTCAAATCTGGATATGAAGCTTAAACTTTTTGATGAAGCAATAGAAGCTGCTACGGATATACATTCCTACCTTGAGGGAATACAAGTTGATTATCTGGAAGAAGGGGACGCTCACAAAATAATTAAGCTCAAAGGGGAACTGAACATACTGGCAACTCATAACTCGGACTCTCTGGCTGAAGAATGGCAACTTGCCAGACCATCGCAAAAAACGGTCTTGGGTGTCCAATTTCCGGACTTCAAACCCCATACTCCAAGAGCCTCCGAAATTCCTACCAACAATAAGGAAAAGGGTAAGAATGCAAATGCTCCCGCTAAAGACGAAGAAATCGACTATGACGAAGAGTCTGCGGTCCAACAAGAGATAAAGGCATATGCCACTGGACAGTCTATCCTGAAAGGTGAAACATTGACAGTGTTCATCCAAAATTACCAGCGCATCGAAATGAAAACGTTTTGCAAATTCAAACCTGAGGGAGATATTGATCAAGATTTTGACCGAGTATGGTCCTACTTCAAGCCTATTCACTTGGCCCCAGTGACGGATTTCACTCCCAAGGAAAGGATAAGGTTGTATCTGCTGCACTTTCACGAAGACGCACTGCAACCTTTGAGAGGGCTGGATCGCAAGACCAAAGAAAGAGATTACCTAAACTTGGTCAGGAAGACGTTCTACACCTTTGGAAAGGTCGAGGTGGTCATTCAAGGATTATACGAACAACTGGAAGCACAACCCCCTCCAGACGGAACATATACCGGGGGGGGGGGGGGGGGGGCC